CCGCAAAAAAGGTTTTACTGAGAAAGACTGTGAGACTGTGTAGAGATTCAGGATTAATTTCAAGTACAATGGATGATGAATCCAGTCACCTCTGAATTAAAGAGACTGAAGCGGTGAGTTACTGTCAAAATAATTGAAAAAAAGTTTGATCAGAACTTTATGATAATTGCTGAATTTTGTAGCTTTCCCCTGTGGTCAGTTTGTGACACCTTTCCTATTTTACAGGAGGTACTCAGTAAAATAGGGCGTGTGATTCATGAAATAGATATGCTTATGAGCAACATGCTGACTGAAGAGCTGCTAGACTGGAAGAGACGGCAACAGATTGCCTGTATTGGGGGTCCTCTCCATGGTGGGCTTGATCAGCTCCAGAACTGGTAAACTTGCCTTGAGCTTGTGTTTCCACTGAAAACCACAGGAAGTCTGCTGCACATGAAATGATCATTCCTTTAGATCTGTTGCCTTGCTACCTTGCAACAGCAGCAAATTCATTACCAGCTAAGGAAGTAAATAACTAAAAATACACAATTTGTTTTGGTGAACAACATTTGTTGTTCAGAATGAATAACATTACAGTGAACTGCTGAGACTGAGCTGTGGCCGTTGCTCATTCTTGGGTTTGACAGTTGTTCCAGATACATGATACAAACCCGCTCGGGATTTTTCTTGAGTAAGAACTGTGCTGACTGAGTTTGTCACTGAGGACAGTGGGAGTTTTGTCTAGGCAGGAGCTGGGTAGACACTTTATGCTTTGACTCACTAGGTACTTCACTCCTCCAGACTTCAAACTATGCAGGAATTGAATGTCAGTAGGCTCTGTGGTGGCAATTCTAAAGGTAATTGCAAATAAAAAGAAAATAGCATTATATTAAAAAGATAATGCAGCCAGAGAATGTCAATGTCCTGGTCATTTCTGTCCCATCATATTTCTCTTCTGTAAAAGGTGAAGTAAAAAGTAGAAAGAAAATAAAGAAAGGAAAACAGACAAGAACACTTTTAGGTTTGAAGAAAAAAGTATTTTTTGCCTTGCGTTTTTTTTTCCACTAAAGTATTTTTTTTTCTAATGAGGATGTTAAAAATAGCTTTAAAAGTGTGATTTTATACAAACATATCCTATTAAACTGTTAGCAAGTCTGTTTGGATTTGATTTTCCTTATTGTTTTTACACTTCCTCAAGTCTTGGTAACTTGATCATTTTATATAAATATTATCCTTCTAAAGAGTACACTTCGCAAAACTACTGAGCTGTAGGAAAGAATTAAAATTGGCAGAAGTGCCGTGCATGTAAAATATCAAGACCATGTATATATTTATTCCAAATTATCACAGACAGCATTGCATTGCTGTTAATGAGGTCTGTTGCACAAATATTTATCTTCAGAAATAAAGTAGGTAATTTGCCTGATGTACTTTTATACTCCTGTAAACAAAAGATGAAAGGACATGACTTTGGATAAAACTAGAAAGCACCACTCAGTACTGATTCTGATTTCCCTATTCAAGAACTTTGGTAGCCATTATGTTCTAAGAAATGGTTTACATGAAAGATTGCAAACTAATCTTTTGTCTCGCTGTAGTTTTACGCTGTTGGCAGAGAGTCTCTTTCAAGTTAGAAGGCAACTAGAAAAACTGGATGAACTGTTGACCAGACTGACTTACGATGGTGACCCTATCCCAGTGCAAAGACCTCAGCTGCTGGAAAAAGTCAACTTTCTGCTCTACAATCTTTTCCGGAAGTGCGTAAGCCATTGTCAACATACATAACTTTACTGAACTGACACAATTTTTCTGGCAACAATGAGACCATATTGTTAAGAAGAAAAAAAAAAAAAAAAAAAAAAAAGGTTTTCTCTGAGGATCTTAAAGACTGAGTTTCCAACGTAACAAGTATGTACAGCTGTCATCAAAACTCTGAGAGGCTGAAGGTGCCGGGCAGCTTCTCATGTGTAGCAGTTAAGGTTTGTGGTCAAGTTCTGACTCTAAGAGAACACACAAAATCCACTTATTTCAGTAGCAGTTATGTACAAACTGCTGAGAAAAATTGTGGTGGGTATTTTTTTATTTTGGTTGTGGGTTTTGGTTTGGTTTTTTTTTAAGTGGCAGGTGCTAATATGTTCCTTGTCTTCCCTCTTCCCCTCAATGACATTCTTGCCCCCGCTCCATTCACCTTCTATTAATAGATAAAATATTATCATCATTCCTCTTGCCTTTTGTACTGGCTATACTAGAGATATACAAGTGACTATCTGAAAGCAAAACATGGTCAATTGTTTTTTTATAAAAAACGAAAAAAAAAAGATTGTTTAATTTCACTGGTGCCAGGCTCAGTGTATTTTCATACTCTGTTTTATGGTTCTGATAAAAGTCTTGGTCTTCCAGACTTCTATCAGCGTGGTATTATAGGACTATTGAATTTGTTTTGGTTTGATTTTTAATGTATTCCAAATATCTGTTTCTTATGTGAACAATTCAACTGTAGGTTAAACCACTGGATCATTTTGAGAACTGAGAGTTGGAATAAATACATACCTTCCACTTCAGCATCTGTAGAGAAATAAGTCTCTAAGAGACACCATCACTTTTACCCCCCTAATACAGCTGTTTGTTTATGCATATATTCCTAAGAGTCTTTTTCTTTCACTTCTTTTCACACAGTTCATTCGTGGTTGAAAGGCAGCCCTGCATGCCAACACATCCCCAGAGGCCGATGGTTCTTAAAACGTTAATACAGTTCACTGTTAAATTAAGGTAAGGAAGGGAAATCTGATATAAACTCTTCATTTGCATACTGCATTTTATCCTAGGAGAATCTAGAAAGCAAAGCAGAACAGCTTGTGTTAGAGATCCTTTTGGCTCCAGGGAGATTTTCTGGAATGGAGATATAAAAGCCACAGAATCTGTCACTCATAGTAAGTGGCAATAAAGAGTAAACCGGTGGGAGGAAGGGTGCTAGCCAGAAGTCAGCACCTCCAGGGTTCTCTATGCATTGAATTCTTGTTTTAATGACTTTGCAAACTGAGTAAATAAAGCTCCACATCATACAAGCCAACATCAGAATACTCGGAGCTACTTTTGCATGTAGGAAAAAGAAAATTCTGCATTTGGGGGCTCTGGTGAATCAATGACAAGTTATTTCTCTTCCACTAGCTCCTTGCCTGACTTTGTGAAAAGAACAAAGACTGGAAAGCAACTCTCATCTCATTTCCACCCTGCAGCAATAAGAATACATGGGGGTATGGGTGAGGGGTGGAAAGGGCACATGAAAGAAAGCACCCATATGTCTACAGTGCAGTCAGATTATACAAATCCGTTTCTTAAATCATTACTTCTTTGTTGTCTTTCTAGCCATTCCCTCAAACACATACTAACTTTTCCACATACTTGCCAGGAAGGTAGGACACCTGCCACTGGAACAGCCCAGCTCCTCTTTCTGAGTATACAACCCTGTAATCGTGATATAACCCTCAATGCCTAATCTGTTTTCATATTAAAATAATTTCAGATACTTTAGTGTGGAGCTACTCTAATATTTTCTAGTGAGAAACTTATTGTTAATACTCACTTTTACATTTTCTGTTTTGAAGGTTGCTAATTAAATTGCCAGAACTGAACTACCAGATCAGAGTGAAGGCAACTATTGACAAGTAAGAAACTTTAAAGTGAAGGTATTCTCTCTCTTCCTAGAGACAACAAGGGTTTTTCAGTTGCTACCCTATCTGATTTAGAAGTTGCTCTGAAAAGGAATAAAAACCCCAACAGTTAAAACATCAGGGTAATGCTTTTCTTTTTGTAATGTGGGAGATTGCCTTTTCTTAGAAAAAAAAAAAAAAAGCTGCTATGTCTAATTGCTATTTTCAAATTGGAGGCAGGAAGTCCACTTAAGATTTGTTTCAAGACTGAGATATTGTCTGAAACAATAGCATCACACAAAAACTTTAAATCAAACTGTACTGCATTTATGGGATAGTTTGTTTTGAAATACCACTTATGTCTGCTTGCGTTAATAGGCCCAGTACCTTCAGTGCAGCTCCTCCAAGCAGTACATGAAGCTTGTGCTTGAAAATCTAGTGCTGTAATTAGTAACTATGGCATCTTACAGAGTTTTACCCCTTGCTTGAACTTAAGTCTGCTACATAAACTCCTCCTAAGGTCTTTAGTTCTCCTTTATATTCCTCTTATTATTTACAGCAGTCCCAAATGAACAGGATCCCCAGCTTCTTCAGTTGATTATAATTTCCTGAGCAAAAAGCATCTCAGAGCCTGCCTATACTGTTTGTGAAAACAGTGTTAATGCTGCCTGGAGTATTTCTGTTTGGGTTGGTGCACCTTCTCTCAGCAAGCTGCATTATTTTGAGTAATGCCCAGTCCTGTAGAGAAAGCTTGGTTATAGATAGGTCAGGGCACACTAGCATGATAAAACATGGGGCAGAAGACTTGCTGTCAAGGTATGATTTCCAAATCAGCAAAGGTGATCCAAGTCCTCACCACCCACCATCCCAAGCCACAGGTACCAGCTACCTCCCTTCTGGCTGCTGTGCTTCTGCAGGCCCCTGAAAAATGCCTTGACCTCATGGACATAGATGTTGGCCCAAAAGAAGGAAGGAAAACACCCGGTGAGGGAGGAGCAGGAGAGAAGCCAGGACTGTTTCTCTCAAAAGCTGCGCACTGTCCGATTTGCTGCTGTGCACGTGTTCTCCCAGTACACCATGAGCGATCTACACAGGCTGGTACTGTCCCAGAACACAGGCATGCAGGCAATTAGTACTGCAGCTTTGAATAATCCACGTATCATTCCAGTGGCAGGAAAAAAGCTAGATGGAATATCCTGCATCTGGCCATATGCCAAAGTCTAACTGGACAGTACCTTTTCAATTCCTTAGTTTAAAAACTGCAGTTGTATTTGTAACTTTGACAAGGCAAAATCTATGGTCTCAAGATATGTATCTTAGTACAAGTTATGGCTGACACATTTACTGATTCACAATCTGTCTCCCCGCCCCTGCTTCTCTTCTGTTTTAGGAATGTTTCAACTGTAAGGTAAGAAAATAAAATATCATATTTCTTAAATTATCCAATACGATATTATTTGAGTATGTAAGTGTAATGTCCTCCATAGTAATCGTAGATTTGTTCTGTGTGGAACACACGTGAAAGCAATGAACATGGATGAATCTGCAAACGGAAGCCTGTCGGTGGAATTTCGACATTTGGTAAGTTTGATTGCTTTTTTTTTTCCCATCATGTATGTCTGGTAAAGAAATAAAAAAATCTATAGTAACTATGCAGGGAGACCTGTATTACTGTCAAGTCTACACTAATTTTTTTTTTCCTTTATACAGAAAGTTTACTCCTAGAATCCCACTTCATACTTTATCCATTCCATAAAATAAGACTATATATTTTCACAGAAATTACAAAGCAAATTCTAATTAATGATAGAAAAGGAAATGGCTAATCATGTTGAATTACACAGCTTCTCAGAAACTGAGTTTTGTTAAAAAAAGTGAAACAAAACCAAAAAGCAAAAGCAAACCTAAATGAAACAAAAAACCAAAACCCAACCACACCATCATTGTCTAGGGGAAATATAACATTGAATGCTTTAGATCTGGTTAAAATTAATGCCTGAGAAAAATGTCTTTTGAGAGACTATAGTACTGCTTCTGTAACTTCTCTAATATCCCAGTGAGTCATGCTTTCTGATTAGACTTCCTCACCTATGGTATCTTTTTTGGTTTAACAACAGATGCAGTGCATCAGCATAGTTTTGCAAAAGGAAATAGAGATTGACAGTCTTCAGTGCTTCACAAGCACTCTAATTAACACTTAGTTTCTTAAAAAACTCTTTAAAAATACCAAAAGACTATTCACTGAATAGACTTTTCAAGGCATAGTGTCAGAACCTTCATTACAGCCTATTTTATACTGTAAACAAAACTTTATTATACTAAGAACATCATGATTAGTTCTTTATATGTACTTCTGTCTATAGTTTCTTTGGCACATAAATATTGTTTTGCTTTTTACAGCAACCCAAAGAAATGAAATCAAGTGCTGGAAGCAAAGGAAATGAGGTTTGTGCATTTATTTTACATGTTATTGTTGATTACTCTCACAAGAATTTCAGATTGGATTTTATTTAAATCAGAAAGCAACAATATGTTGTTAGATTTTGAAATATATATTCTTATAATAAGCATAGGAGCCAATTATAATATGATGGTATAAGTTATAATGAGAACTTTGTAGAACTACTTAAAGAAATTTTAACTACATGCTTTAAATTTGTATATTAAGAAAGTTTTAATAGGAGGTAGGAAGTAATAACCTGAATGTATATATTCCTCTTTAATGCCACCTCTTTGGTCATTTACATTTTGAAGAAATAAGCTTTTTGAGGTTTTTGTTGAAGCAATTTTTCCTATAGGAACAGTTCTTTAAATATATATTCTGTTAGCCAAGTTCACAGCTGAAGTAAGGGTATAATTATATTTCCATCAAAGAAGTTTGCTTGCCTCGACCAGGACCGAAAGTGTGCTTAGTTTCCCAGTACTCATCCAAACCCGGTCATAGGTTCCCCTCTTGTGGTGACACTGCACTGTGACACGTTAACCCTAACAAACCAGCAGCTACTCTGCGGTACCCAGATTGCAGAGACATGCACATAGCACCTGGCACGGACAGTGAAAAGGTATCAGTGCTTGCTTCCAGCAGAGGAGCTTAAAATCCGCACATTCCAAGAACAGAAATCAGAAGCATTACCTTTGGTGCTAATCCACACCCCGAACACGGTGCCCCTGACTTCATGGGTGTCACAGGGCACCCCTTCCACTGCTGTGCTGCCCTTCAGCACGCCACACACCCAGACCACTAACCAGCTCCTCACTACCTGCCCAGCTACCCTACCCTTCTTCTCAGCTCTGGGTTCCTACAAACCGCGATTCCCCTGAGTGCCCCGTGTGTCACAGACAACATCAGGATGGCAGGCAAGAAAGTTACTCTCTCCATTCGCTCGCTGCTGCATCACTGGCAGGAGGGGCAGGGAGAGCTGCACCGGTGGGGGAGAAGGCAGGATGTCCTCATCCAGCAACTGGAGGCAGTAGGGAGGGAGCGGAAAGGCACGAATACACACAGATTCTAGGGTGGCCACGGATCATCACCCTAAATTTAGCATTGCCATTTAACAGTGAACATCTGCAGATAAATCTGACTGCAGCAAGAGCTTGCAGCTAATGATAAAGCCTCTGCCAATCCTACCAGAACAATTAGTGTCTCCCAAGGTAACTGAAGTCATAAGATGCTTCTGTGAATGTCACCTATTTACTTAGGAAGTGAAATAGCCTATGCTGGTTTAAGGTATCTCCACACCAGTGTAACTTTTCTTACACAGTAGAAGCACTGAGGGTAGAGTTGTGTTGGCAAGTTTAAACAAAAATAAAAAATTCACTCATATCACAGCCCAAATAGATGCAACTATACAAGCACAAAAGTTATTACCAAGTAGTCTTCAAATACAAGGGCAAAGGTGAATTTTAACCAAAAAATCTAAAGCAGAAGATACTTGTGCACACTTCACATGGTGTTTTCAGAACGGAATAACTTACAACCTCATTAGCAAGACTGAAAGTCAAGGCTTGCCTCCCAGTTACTTTGCTACTTACGAAGTCTTTTGCATCAAGACAAGCAAATGCAAAAAAGTAGGCGTAAAAATGTTGGTGCTCTACTTTTGGTAGCATTTTACTCCCACTTTCACACATTGTGTCTTTATAACTACATAAAACATAGGGCTGTGGAGAATTAGGGCAGCTGACTGCTAACTGATTTCCTCAAACAGAGCTTCTTGGTCAAATCACAGTCTGTGAAGTCATTATTAGCATGAACAAGGGATTTTTTCATTAACAGCAACTACAGTAATTTAAAAACTTGGTTTGTTACAAGATGTTTAGTAGCTGAGAGTGTAGTTGTTCAGTATGACTTGCCTTATAAAAAAAAGCGGAAGTTCTCTGTATTTGAAATTTGTTGTTTCATATAGATATGACTTTTTGCCTAGATGATCTTTCCATGAGAAAATTTAAGCTTTTGCAAAATTATAACGGGAGGGAGAAGGGGTGTTTCACCAACCCTTTCCAACTTTGTGTCAGCAATACAGGTTGAGCTGGATTGATTCTACCTGTATTAAAACATTTGAGGTCATTTGATGGATGAGTATTTAATGTAAAAGCCTTCATCTCTAAGCAGGATTTTCCCTTTGCAAGGCAAATTTATTGTTCAGATGCCTGAGGATCTTCTGTGGTCTCAATCTCTTATTTATACACTATCTTTTATTGCAGTGGCCTGTACATGTCCTGGAGGACGTGCTCCATGGGAAAGATAAGGCCACAAGGCACTTTTCCAAGGAATAGAGGGGGTTTTTTACATTGACTGAAAGCAGAGTATTCAGTAAATGGGAGCATTTTGCTTTGAGATTTTTTATTTTGTTTCTTTTTATTAAAAAGTCTTAACAAAACAAATATGTGATGGGGAAAGGAAAACCATCAACCACCACCACAAAAACAGGAGAAGGACAAATAGATTTTTATACTTTGACTTATGGGGATGGAAAGATTTTGGAAGATCTGTTTCCCATGGGGCAGAGATTTGGATCTTTACTGAGCTATGCTGGTTTGTAATCAAAACCAAACGCTTGTACTACAAACTTTAACCAACTATGACAAACAGATTTTCTTTTTTTTTTTTTCCATTCAAGAAAAGGTCATTTTTTAAATACCAGATTTACTTAGCATTAATGATTTAGGACTCTATTCCTTCAATTTGTACCATCTAAGTATACCTGCAACAAACCTGTGCTCCTGAATGAGGGCCTACTTGTCATTTAAGCCATAGCTTTTTGTTTTGTTTCTAGTTTGTTTCTCCTTGAAGTTTAACATCTCTGTTTAGATTGGAATTATCAATCAGTAAAGAAACTTTACGAAAAGAAGAGTTGGTTACAATCTTTATCAGACACAAAAAAAATAATCTGTTAACTTTTTGTGTGCAAATCTATGTTTAAAAGCACCGTTTCAGAAAAAGTTAAAAGCAAAAGTTAAAAGTTTAAATGTATTGCTTTAACAATGTCAAGGGGTTTTTTTTAGATTCATCAGGAAAAGCCACCAGACTTCAGGATTAATGTCAGAGTTTAACAAACAAATTATTTCCTTCACTTCCTTCTTTTCCTGTTATACTTACATATTTGATATGTGTCTTCCTTCAAAATTGTGTTATCTCAGCAGTCGGATCACTAAACCAGTGTTAAATACCAAGTGTGCATTCACAGTTTTATAACCTACTTACTCCCTCAGGGCCCTCACATGGTGACAGAGGAACTGCACTCCATCAGCTTTGAAACACAGGTCTGCCTGTATGGATTGACTATAAATTTGGAAGTGAGTATTCTAATCAGATTTTCTGGGGCAAGAATAAAAGGCATTTTCCAGCAGCTTACGGAAGAACAGCCATGTTGGGCCAGACCACAGGTCCGTCTATCCTCAATGCTACCTTCAGCAGTAACCATAAGCAGACACAAGATTTCCAGAACTGGACAGAACCGTACACTTCGGGAAGGAGGAGGGGGGCTAAAGAAACCAAAGCATAACAAAGCACTAACACTTTCTTTGGCAGCATTTACATCCCCCATTCATTCTTTCCACCAGACCAGCTCTTTGCCTGTGGTGATGATTTCCAATGTCAGCCAACTACCCAATGCTTGGGCTTCTATTATTTGGTACAATCTGTCAACCAACGATCCTCAGGTAGGTCTTCAGTATGCAAGTACTGACTTTCTGCATTTTCACATTTCTATTATTTCGTTACCAAGTATGTTCATTATTAAAATGCTGTGTTTCCTTCTTAAACTGGCCTTATTTTCTGTTATCAACATCATACTTTAATATTGTTTGCTTTATCTTTTGTTCCCTGCCCAGATACAAAAGCATATGCACACTTAGCCTTCCTTTTCAGGCTAAAGTAGTAGCTCTTAAACTAAGGAAAAATGACAGACCTTCACCACAAATTTTCTAGCTTGAATTTGGTTTTTTTGGATGCAGTTGACCACAATTGTAAATAGCACAAAATAATTCCTAACTGTCAAAGTAGGTGTATAGGTGGGTCTGTAATGCACCTAAGTGCTGCTTTCCCTCATGCGTTTTATAGGAGCTAGTGCTTTCTACGGAGAAGATTATAAGTGTCGAGCAGCACCTTCTAGTGGCTCTAACTGTGAGCAAAAGCAGAATCATTCTTTCTCAGGCTGCAGCTGGCTCAGCACATATTTTAGATTTGCTCACCATTACTGTATTTACAGCACTGTCAGTAGCTCTCAGGCTTTCAGTCGGGGACTAGTGGCATTCACATAGATGTTCAGAGGAGGGAAAGGGTAAGAGTTTACAGTGGAGTGCGCCTAAGAATGATGGCAGGCCAGCTGTCCAGCAGCCTGGACTTTGTATCACTCTGTGATAATCTAGAGTTTTTGCAGTCTTCAGTATGTTCATTACATGTACAGTCCAGAAACCAAGTGAAAAATTAAGATGAACCAAACAACTCAACAACACGTTGCTATATGAGTATGTAAGTTTAAGATTTCCATGCACCAAACATTATAGTGAGGATATCTGCATTTATTGCATGGGATTTACGCATGTTTTCACTGTATTAACATATGATAATATCAGAAACATAGCAAGCTATTTTATCATCCGAGATGCACACACAGACTCTTGCTCTCTCTAGGAGTCTCCCCCTACAACTCTGCTCAGGCACCCAAGTGGACCTTGCTGGGTGGCTGCAGGTGGGAGGGCCAGCACGTTTGCCCCAGTGTAACCCCCCCGCACACCTTATTTTTAACACTTCCAGATTCTGCTCAAGTACTTGCAGCCTTCTTTTACAGCTTGCAGAGTAGTTCATGGTTGCTAACTGTCTAAACAAAGCACTAATTCTGTTTCAGAATTTGTCTTTTTTCAACAATCCCCCTGCTGCCACTTTAAGTCAGCTCTTAGAAGTGCTGAGCTGGCAATTTTCATCGTATGTTGGTCGTGGACTCAATTCTGAGCAGCTCAACATGCTGGCAGAGAAACTTATGGGTAAGTGTGTAGTAATACACAGATTTTATTTTCTTTTGGGCTCTTATATTTGATATTTACAAGTAAGGACTGTATGCATGACCTCCAGTTCCAGAGTTGCCTTCAAAAATGCCACACTGACATTTTTTTCTTTAAAGAAAAGCACACGTCAGCTTATTCTTACCACAAAGCGGTTCAACTTTTGAACTTCCAGGCTGCTAAACTGAAGAAAGAGGGCATCAGAGTCACACTGAAATGTGATGTTATTTTGTTTCCTTAGCAAGTAATTATCTCATGCATCTGAAATCAAAAGCAAGTCTTTTTGTTTGCTTATGGGGTTTGGTTTGGGTTTTGTTTCATTTGAAGTACCCATCCTTGTGGGTCTGTGTAGTTCTGGGACCTATGCTTCTCTGGTGACAGTGTAGCAAAGAGGCCCTGTAACTTCAGGGAGATGAGATTTCTTGCTTAGTGGAGGTAGTGGAGTTGAGAGGTGCCATTGTGCATTAGCAAGAATCATAAGAAAGAAATATTAATTGCCTTAAAATATGGAAGCTCAAGGTAGAGTGAAGGCCAAGAGAAGTAACACTCGGGCTAAAAACTGAAACCAGGCATACCATGTAGCAGAAACAAAGTCCCAGACTACTTTAGGGAAATATTCCCAAAACTACCCTTATTAGCTGCTTCAAAAGGATATAGAAAAACTCATCTACAGCCCCTTAGCATGCCTCTCTCAATCCCTCACCAAGTCTGGATGTACTGTACTTCTCCTCCTCACCCCAACTATTCAGATATCTATATATCTATTTCAAACTTCAGAAAAATAGACTCACCATTTGGTGTTTGTGTTTGTTGGTTGGTTGTTGGTTTTTTTTTTCCCTCAGGACAACAAGTCAGTTACAATGATTATCAACTATCCTGGGCAAAGTTCTGCAAGGTAGGGTTCTGAAAGTAAAACTACATTCTTCCATCCCTTAACACTCATGTGCATGCCTAACTCTGTCTTTCTGATGCTGCTGATAAGATTCCCACTTGCCATATGTGGGACTTGTAGCCCAGCACAATCACACTGTAAAAATTGAACTCAGAAAATAGTATTTCCAGAAGTTTAAAGCTTGGGCTAAGAGATCTGTTTAGTTACATTGCTACAGATATCACAGACTGTCATTATAGTGTGCCCTATATATTTCTGTAAATGACCAATAGACTGTGCTATCAAAGCATACAACACATTTTTCGTAAAGCACACAGTAATGTTTTCCATATGCTCAGTTGTGACCTAACATTTCAAGTCAGTCAGTATGTTCAGTAACTTTGAGGAGGAACAGTCAAGTTACTGAGAAAGAAGGGTAAACCCATTTTATTCATATTAACTACAGTGTTTAAATAAGTATAGAACCTTGGAAGGAAGTTCAACTTTCTCATCATCTTTTCTCTCAAAATGTAAATTCATAACCAGAAAGAAACAACAAATGTGATTTTTTTTTTCTTGAAAAATGTGGCACTTCCAAATGCTTATCTAGGGGGTGTTTAGTCTGGAGAAGAGGAGGCTGAGGGGAGACGTCATCGCCCTCTACAGCTACCTGAAAGGAGGGTGCAGAGAGCTGGGGATGGGTCTCTTTAACCAAGGAACAAGCGATAGGACAAGAGGCAATGGCCTCAAGTTGTGCCAGGGAAGGTTTAGACTGGATATTAGGAAGCATTTCTTTACAGAATGGGTTGTTAGGCGTTGGAATGGGCTGCCCAGGGCAGTGGTGGAGTCCCCATCCCTGGAGGCGTTTAAGAGATATGTTGACAAAGCGCTGAGGGATCTGGTGGAGTTGAGAACAGTCAGTGTGAGGTTTATGGTTGGACTGGATGATCTTCAAGGTCTTTTCCAATTGAGATGATTCTGTGATTCTGTGATATCTTAAAAATCAATTGGTTTTATGTCAGGTGGGAAGAGAGATGTTACTCAAAACAGCAGTTCAAATTTGTCATTCTCACTTGAACAAACTAGATTATTCTTAAGAAACTGAGATAGCCATGTCATGTGGATGTTGGGTAACAGCACTCTCATAATTCTCCTCTTGTGTGTCTCATTTTTGTTTGTGTTCTGTGGTTGTTTCTTTTTTTAACCATTAGGAACATTTGCCTGGAAAGTCTTTTACCTTTTGGGTTTGGCTTGAAGCCATCCTGGACTTAATTAAAAAACACATTCTTCCTCTTTGGATTGATGGGTGAGCAACAAAGAAACTGCTGTATATTGACCTCTCTCTGCTTTGTCTTTTTCTTTACTAACCTCAGATTTAGCTATGCAGAAGAGAATTTGCAAAGAATTTAATACTTCTGTCTCCCTCTTCCCATTGGAAAATTTTGCTGAAAGGGAACATTGCTGAATCTCTTAGAAACGCAGGTTTAGATCTATTTATCATTTCTGCCAGTGTACAGTCAAGTACTGGGATAAATTTCATCATGCTTCATAGTACTTTAAGCGCAATGCCACACTCCACATGTAAATGATATGCAGCTTTTATCATAATTTCAAGACCTTATAAAGCTTTTCTAACCAGGTTTTGAATGCCTGTATAAGATTTGGCCAGATGCACTGCACAGATTGAAGTCTGTATTTCTCTCCAAAAGTAAACCCATGATTTCCTTTTATACTTCAGGTACATAATGGGATTTGTAAGCAAAGAGAAGGAACGAATTTTGCTCAAAGACAAGATACCGGGAACATTTTTATTAAGGTTTAGTGAAAGCAATCTGGGTGGAATTACCTTTACTTGGGTGGACCAGTTAGAAAATGGTAAGTAGAATTTTAAAAAAGTAACATAAACCTCACAGTCTGCAATGTACCTGTAATACAGGAGCCATAGTTTCTTTAGTTTGAAAGTAAAATTCATGTGTATCATGTCTTAGTATGGTTTTGGGCAAGATATGATATAAGTATCATATTTACTGAAACACAAACCAAAACTCTGAAAGTCTACCTCTCAGTTCTTTATATTGACTATATAAGACCATCAGGAGATGTACCAGCTTACTGCAGGCTTTAAGTTTGTTTCCACATGTGCTGAAAGTGCATCTTGAAAGATCCTAACATTGGTATGAAAAGGTAAAACCCACACCAGTGTAAACTGCAAAAGAAAGACAAAAATATGTTCCAACTGCAAATGCTGACCTGCCAGTCATCAGGGGTTATGGTGCCTTTGTATTTTTACAGGAGATGTAACATTTCATTCAGTGGAGCCCTATAACAAAGGTCGTTTATCTGCACTGCCTTTTGCTGACATACTGCGCGATTACAAAGTTATTATGGCAGACAACGTTCCTGAAAACCCGCTGAAGTATCTGTATCCAGACATTCCCAAAGATAAGGCCTTTGGCAAACACTACAGCTGTCAGCCAAATGAAGGTTGGGCTCCATTTCTCTACTTACCCTTTCTGCAGAGCAGCTGCAAAGTCAAGAGGCAATTTGAGAAACGTGGGGAGAAGAGGAAGAGAAGAGATTAAGATGCCTCCTTTAATCGGCATCTTCAAGAGAATGGTTTTAACATAAGTCTATCATTTAGACAGCTTCTTTTTTGTAAATATATCCCTGGTCTTAGAGGTTAAATCAGAGGTGATGACAACAATATTTAAAAGAAGCTAAGAAATAGATCCTGGGGTAGAAAGAGTCAAATAATTGGATATTTTTCTCCTGACTGATGCATTACAAAATTCAGTGTTGTTCAAAGGAGATGAAACTGAAAAGTCATCTTGCTTATTGGGTTCATAATTGTGTTACACTTAGCATGCTGTCTCTTTAATATCAAGAAAATTCAGTATTTGCCAAATAGCTTGACCTGCACTACTTCATTTCATTCGGTGGAACCCTGTAACAAAGGTTACTTATCCTCACTGCCTTTTGCCAACATACTGTGCGATTACAAAGTTATTATGGCAGACAATGTTCCTGAAAACCTCTGGCAACGGCACTGGAAAATACAAAAAGGCTAGACAAGAATGGCTCCAAATACATTCAGGCCCACACCCTATCTTGTCCAACTTACAAGTCAAGCTACTCAACAAAGCTCTCAAAGCCTTGATTTTTTAAATTAGATAATACACATTCTTCTGGACTTTAAAAGGTTACAACTCCATTTGAATTCAAATTCTTACATCAGTCAAAAATATTTGGAGGCTACAAATGTTTTTCCTCTTCATTTTAATTCAGTGGACTTTGCCTAATACTCCAATCCTCTAAAAATTTATGTCTGTGCTTAATTTCATGCAAAAGATATTGCTGAAGCTGTAGAGATAGAGCTCCCTACAAGCATCTGTAGAACTGAAATCTTAAAGGCTCAGAAGTTGGAAGCTTGTGGAGTATATTTGCTTTTGAAGTCCTATCGAGATCTCTTTCATCAGTTGCTGTACTATATCCTGAAATGGCGATTCATATCATGGGAGCACAGTACATTACGTGACTAACACCTGAACTCAAAAGACTAATCTCAGGAATTCCCCTCATTTTTATGGCTGTTTATTTAAGCATAAACAGAGGCATTTCTTAAATACTATGATATGCAGCACTTAAAGCAGATAAACAATTTCAAATAAATAATAAAATTACTAGGCAATATTTAATTTCTCTAATATTTATTTCTAGTCTCAAAGCCCTCAGATGGAGGAGGCAAAGGTTATGTTCCTTCTGTATTTATCCCAGTCTCCAAAATGTAAGTATCCTTACAGATATATTACACTTCAAATGTTATTTTTATTAAATTTGCATACTTTTCAAAGTTTTCCCTGCCTTCCTTCCCCCATTCAAATAGTTAGGGCTAGCAACACGTTGCACATTTTTATTTGGCCAAGGATGGATAAAGACGAGAAAGGGAAGTACACTTCTACAGTGCTCTTCCCCATCCGTGTGGCAAAACACTTGTAAAAATTGAATACAGATTTTATGGTACTCTGATCTACTTATCTTTCACTGTCTCCTTTTTCTCTCCAGCAGCTGATACTAGAGTCAGGTTTATCCTCTCTTCCCTTGGGTCCCAGCTCCTACATTTTTAAATATATACCAGGTTGTTGGCATGTGCTTACAGGGCCACCAGCAAGCCCAAGTACAAGCGTAACTTAACTAAATAAGCATTCACCATACTGCACTGCTGTGCATCAAGTTAGAGGGATTTAGGTTGCTTTTAAGATTATTTTTGTGGGTTTTGTTTTGTTTTCTTTTTTTAAGCTTAAATGATTCTACAGATCCACATTCTCCATCAGATCTTCTTCCAATGTCTCCAAGTGTTTATGCTGTGCTGAGAGAACACCTGAGTCCCACAGTGATTGAAACTGCCGTATGTTGTAAACTTTTCCATTCATAAGTTAATACTAAGCAAATGGGACATGTACAACACAGATGCTGGTTCTAAAAGGGGTGTTTGTACAATTATGAAAAAAATCAGAGCTCTTTCATCATTTTCTTTCTGCAACAATGGTGCAGACAATTCCTATTCTAAAAGGGACATGATGCTGCAAGCATACTCAGAAGCACTGTGTTACATGAAATTGTCTGACAGGCTGACCAACAAAACCAGGAATGTCATAATTCAAAGATCCCAGAGTTCTTGCACAAAGGAAGCCTTTACACTGACAAATACATAACAGTTACACCAGTTCTGTAGATAGCACAAAGGACTTGACTTGCTCAGGGAAGCTGCACGAGGAACATAAACATTTCCAATTCAGCCAACTTACACAACTTTTCTGTACTGCAAGTTTCTACATGGGGTACCAAAGTGAGAAGTCAATTAAAACATCTTTAGCAAATAAAACTAGCAATTCAGTAAGTATATAGAAAGATAGGGAAAATACTGTACCAATGTCCTATTAAAAATATCTTGCCCTTATTGACTAGAAATTGTGTCTGAATCATCGTGACTTAGAGTACTAGGAGCACCAATGTATACCCACTGGGGATTTGTCCAGCAGACTTCTATCAGAAAACACAGAAGTGGTTTGGCTTTAACAGCTTTAAAAGAAAAGGGTTTTTTAACACTAGCTCTTAGTTTTCTGTATATTCAATGATTTATGATCGTAAAATGGTTATGTATTTAAAAGCCTGTCAACTCCCCTTCAAATGCGTCTCCGTAAACACTCCTCCTCACCCACAAACAGAACAAAACTAAACCAGAATCTGACTGTCAACAACTGGAAGCACAGTTAGACTTTGTATACAAATAGAGTTCTTTAATATACACCAAGCTGGAGATCTGTTCAAAAGCAAAATACTTTTTTTTTGCTTCTTCACCCTTTTCTCTGATAGCACTCATGACTAAAACTGAAACAGTAGCCTTAATGATAATTCTGCCTACCATGCGCAACATGAAACATGTCCTCACTCACATGTTGTTTGATTTATGCATACAAAACCATTTCTGACCTTCTAGACAGTGTTTGTGAATATGGTATGCATTTGCCTTTCCCAGAGCTTCGGCAGTGAAATAGTTGGCTTCACTTTTGTTTATCATCAGGCTCCAAACATTTTTGGTTTCTTTTGGCACGCACAGTAATTCTCAAATCAGCTCTGCCTAGAGCTTCCAATCGAGCTGTGACCATCGCTATCTTTCAGGTCATAACTGCACAAGAATGTGTTTGGCGATGAATGGGAGAGTCAAGTACAATCATGTTGCAGTTTAGAGTACTACAAAAGTGGTTCAGTGCTGCTAGATGGTAGATTAATTTCTGGAGGTTCTTACTAGAAACACTTTCAGAAATTGGGGGAGAAAATTGTTTTGGAAGATCTTTAAAGAACTCCTTCCCCATTCTATTTATCTTGCTAAATGGAAATGAGGAAAATATGGAGGAGATTTTTTTTATGATCCCAAATTCACACAACAGTCTACCCTGGTGAAGAGCAGGCAAAGTACAGTAAGGAGACAATCTGTATTATTAAAGAAGTACTTTTTCCTCCATGAAATGACAATTAAAAAAAGCACTGTGTGAGATGCAGAGAACAGGAGTGAAATCTGCAGCAGGACAAAATATCCTACAACTCAAGTAACTCAGCAAGATACACTTTCTGCAGTCTTTCTGAATTCCCTTCTATTTCCCCCCTCTCCAGATTCCCCTACCCATCAGGAAAACAAGAGTCCAGTAAGAACCCTGCTATACATATCAATAGGCTGCAAGAACCACAGAAGTTCATATAAAAATATCTATCATTTTTATTGCAGCTGTTTCCCATACAGTGTTTTCCAGTGACCATTCCTGTATTTTGTAAAGAACTAGAAACAGGAGCCTCAGATCCTTACCAGTTGTCAAAATGACACTGCAGTTACCTAGAGTCAGGGAAGGTTTCATCTGCAGTTATTTTTGAGTGAACAGCAGTGACTGTCATGAGACTAATCTTTTCCTTCTTTTCTTCTAGCTGAGTTCTCCTTACTCAACTGACTGAAGTACACATACTGGAAAAATTACCAATTGTGTGAACAACAGATTGGTTAAAAATGCAGGGGGGTTTGGTGATCTTTGTAAATTAACATTTCCCAGAAACCATTATGATATTATTCTTGGGCCTCATTCTGTTATCAATACTATGTAAACCAGGAATCTTTTCTCCCTATGGATTACAAATAGCCTTCAGCAAGTCACATTGCTGTCCTCACTGATAAAAAGCCAAATCCTTTCCGGCTTGGAGGCCATTTGGCTTCAGTGGGGTCCAATAGGGATAAATTTTACTTGGAGAGTTAACATCCGTAGAATTGCTGTAAATATGAGAGTATAAGAACAAAAGGTTTTGCTTCTGAAAAAAGCATATAAGGATAACTAAAGACATTAACATGTTTGAGGAAATTAGGATTTATTATGTTAAATAGTTTCTGTTTAATCAGCATCTTGTATACCATTGGTTTAGTTTCTGTTTTAAAGTGAAGATTCTCATCTCCCCAAGTTCGAATGTCTCATAGGTGCTGGGGTTTGCTTTTTTTCAAAGATGAATTACCTTCAGCATAGATTTTTATCTGCCACCACAGCAGAAGCTGTGGAAGGAAGGCAGGCAGGCAAGGCTGCAAAGAGAAAGCAGTTCCAGAAAGGAAACAGACACAAAACTTGTGGTGTCAAAAAGGCTGTCTCTATTTTGCCACTGGAAGAGAGGGTTAGTAAAAGTTACGCCTTTCACAAAATAGTTGCAGAACTAAATCTACTTGTGCATGAAGCACTCAGATACTACATCAAGTACTATCAGAAAGTCTACAAAGAAAAAAACTCCTGGCCTGACAGAGTTTGGATACTATCTGTTAAAAGCGGACTGGGAAGCGCAGTTTTAGAAAACAGTTACTGAAGAGCTGTAGCATTTGCTGACCACTGGGCAATTTGCACAACATGACACAATATTACATGTCTGTCAGAGACTCATTTAATAAGCAGAAGAATTAGCTTCTTTATAAATTGTAAATTGCCTTTTAAATTTTTTTTTTTTCTTTCAGGCATTGTTTAGTGCTGGGTTTGCATTGTTTGGTTCTGTTGTTTGGGTTTTTCCCCCCAATATTATCTCTAAAAATTCTGTTAATAGAGTAATAAACAGGTAATTCCAACGCCATTGTATTTGATGTACACAGGCTCATTCAAGATTTAATTCTTGTCTGCAGAATGCAGGGTTCATGCATACAAAGTTCTTAAAATGCATATGAACACTTGAGCATTTGCACCTTACACTCTTCTTGAGTAGGTACAAATTAGACATGATGAAAACATAACCTCCTTGAATCAGTAAGACCTGAATTTTACTTTCATTTCTTGTTTTTTACTCACTCCTCTCACCCATATTACTGACCTTAGTTGAAAGCAGGTGCATGGAAACAGAGTAATGAGATGTTTCTGTGACACACGGGAGTAGGTTTTAAATGAATGACCACGTCTTTGTTCATTAATCTGAGGGATTCAAAACAAGCTGCAGATAGGAAGTAATTTTCTCTCAAAGCATCATGTATAAATAACTTTCTAGACCAACAAGAGCAGTTCTGTATATAGTTTGGTAACATCTGTAATTTATATGACCAGTATGAATAAAACCAGACTTTGGCTTAAAGTTGGATACCTGGACTTTTGTGGAATTTTGTCAAGCTACTAGAAAAATAGTCTTGCCACCTTTTTGTTGATCTCAAGTCTGAACTACAAGCAGTAAGAGATTTCTAAAGCCGTAAATGTAACTTCACCAGCTATTGCACGACTTTTCATTCTAACCTGTTCTCACAATCTTAATACAAACAAAATGGAGGGTACCCTATGCTTGTGACCATCTAACCTTCATAAGCAGTACTGTCAAAGAAGTCCAGATGTGGCACATAAATCAATCTTCTCTCTCCTTCCTCCCTGTTCCTATGCAATGCAGCTCTTCAAAACTCTCAAGTCTTGACTTGAACACAACTTAGTTTGTGTTATTCAATAGCACTTAGGATCAGATTTTGGCATTACAGTTTCTATTATTGTTCTGAAACAGATTTTGCAAGAGGTAGCTTTCACATTTAATTGAAAGGCATACTACTTCCAATCCGTTTGCTGCTTTAAAGAAACATTGGAGTCATCAGTCGTTTTCTGCAAGATAAATGTATACAGCCCAAGTCTCCTTCCATTAAAAAGTAAGAATTTAATCTGTATGACACTGTGAGTAATAAGGTTCTCCAATAAAAGGACG